TGTGGTCCGATAGCATCCTCTTGCCGCTCTTATTAGTAAGATATTTTGATAAAATTTATCAAGTAGGTATCTTACAATAAGCACCACTTCTCATTTGAACAATATTTTAAGCATAAAAACATATGCATTATTTTTCTACGGTTTGACTCACCAATTACCAGTTTTCACAGATACGTGATTTCTAACGAATTCTATGTTGCACCTTCAATATGGCATTAGAAAAAAAACCAGATAAGCCACAGGACTTCATGATAAATGCGTGCACAGACCAAGGCATAAACAAATCAATACCGCACATAAGGACATATATAGATAGACATTTTACAATTTATAAGCTCAATTACTAAAGAACCAACATAGCAATTTAAAGTCCAACTAATTTTTGGAAAGGCACTTGGACCCCAAAGGAAGAACCTTTCCCAAGGAAAGGCTCAGCTCGGCCCTAGGTGCTTACTACACACTATCGGCTTGTTAATATGCAGGTTTTTTTAGCACAGAACTAAATATCACATTCTGTTTCAAGACTATTCAGAAAATCCAAATGATTTTCCTGCTAAGTTTAATCACCACAGCCCCAGTCAGTATATCTAATTGAAATCAGTGTTTCTTTTCTTTCCTACTAAAACCATGCTTCAAAAAGAAAAGAAGATACATTTTACACAAATATCCAATTGCTGTTGCTTAGAATCCAACATAACATGTCAGATCAAGAAGTAAATTTTGTTAGACTTCAAATATTTCAAAATCATATTTCCCAATTTAACCAAGAAGAGTTTATGATGGCTTTTCTCAACAAAACTATTACCTACCCAGAAGAACACCAGCACAAAATCAAGATGATCAGATGTTGGTCTCAATTCCAAAATCATAGTATGCAGAATTAGAAAGAAGGTGAAAGCTTCGTTTTGTGTGCTATTGGAGTTGCCATTTTCACAAATACAGTCTTGCTTTTAGAAAATCAGTATTTGGTGATGCATTTATTAAGTGTCTCTTCCTAAACATTTCAATTGAAAAAAATGCATTAGCTGCTTTAAGAAAGCAACTAAGCTTATGAATTTGCTTTCAGAGAAAGCAAAAAAGACATTAATAAGTTTTTATTAATTACCAAACATATCAAAAAATTTTGGAAAAAAAAAATTAAATAAGATTTTTTGAAAAAAAAAATTGCATGAAATAAATGTAAATGCATTTGATATTTTAAGAAAGAAAATTTTTTTCTTAAATGCAACACAACTATATGAACAATATTCTGACTGTATCTACAAAGGCATAGTTACATTTAAATAATTAAGTTCGGTGATTGATTTAACTAAAAGCTTAAGCTGATAAAAAGCAATCTAGGCCTCATTATTTATATTCTTTTTTTTTAAAATAGCTTATCATTTATATTCGTAACAAGTTCCCTCACATTTAACCCTGCTAGACTAAGAGTATGGACCACTATAAGCCACCATAACTTGTGCAAAATAATAAAGTTGGGTAGCAACCAAGATTTGGATTCTAAATTTTAATCGAAATATTCATTAATTACATTTGATAGCTAATTTTCCTCCAAGTTTAAATTGATACTGAATCAGCCTAGCTGTACTATTTCCATTCTTGATAGTTGCCAAACAGAAGAATTAGGTACAACATGTTCAACAACATCTAATAGGAGACAGGTCCCAAACACCTTTGTTTTTGACATAAAGTTTCCAAACACTGTACTTGCTTTTAACAGCGAGACCTTCTAGTCATGATAACTAGAAACAAACATTTTTCTGTAAAAACTTTTCTCTCTCAGCACAACCAAATAGAGCAAAAAGATGGACCCAAGTATAGGCCTTTACCTCCCATGGAGCCCTTTTGTGAATATTGAAAGATGAAAAAGCAATTCTAATGTCTTGTCTGCTCTAAGAACTAAATCTAACTAAAGAAATTATCTTCGCGAAAAGATATATCATAGTCCACATGTTAAGTTATCAAAGGCCCATATACATAAATTGGAATAGACACAAATACCATGCGCACATGTAAGTATGTGTATAAATGTGTACGTCCTCAGCATGTGCATGGGCACATAACAAATTTCTCATGAGGTTTGTACCCCTTCCCACAGTACTACGAAACCTTAGAGATGAAAATCGAGAATTGGACAATCTATCAACCAAACCCCAAAGGCCAGCTTAGTAAGACACAACCAGAGCTTCAGTCTCAAGAAAACAAGAAACATAGGAAGCTATTCCTCGACCTCTTTTGTAGCTATTGTCAATGGCTGTACTTCAGAGTTCTTCAAAGCACCTAGGGGCTTCAGGCAAGCAAACCTTTTCTCCTCCCTATTTCATTATCATTATGGAAGCGATACGCAGGCTGATTTCTCAGGCTAAAGAGCTCCAGATTCACTTAGTGGCTTAAGCGATCAGAGAACATGTCACTTGGGAGCTTGGGAGGCAGTGAAGCAACATTTCTCTTATGGAGGCTTGGTATCAGATCTCTTATCCTGTTCAATAAAGCACTTCCTAAGAAGTGGTTGTGGAGATTCATAATAGAGGAGAGTAATTTTGGTAGAGGGTGATCTGGGCCAAATTTGGGTTGGATGAGGGGTTGGCAGACTAAGCCTCTAAGAGCGCCATAGAGCATGAGGCTTTGGAAGAGTATCAGTACCAACAAGAATAAGCTCCACTTTATCCAGATGAGGGTTTTTTCTTGGAGGATGAAGTTTTGAAGAGATTGGTTGATGTAGAACTAATAATGGAGAATAATCGTTTTGGGAATGTTTTTTTTTTTTTAATGTAAAACAGTCAAAAAATGCATTAAAGAATCAATAGTACCAACGAATACCACCCATGTACAAAATATTTACAAGTTTGTCAAAATATCAACAATATACCCAAAATCCTCCACCCTTATGATGTCGCAACCCAGGAAAAGGGACCCAAAATAATGAAATCAGCCATCTCTAAAATAGCCAATCTCCCTTTCCACCTCATCAAATACCCTCCTATTTCTCTCTTTCCATAAAAGCCAAAAAATTGTCAAAGGGATTAGATTAGCAGACTTTTCCTTCTACAAACATTCCCCTAATACAATAATTCCTCCCTCACAGTTCCAGCAATAACCCAATTAATCCGAAGCAAGCCATAGACCATGGACAACAAACTATAGGCAATCGGACACCTAAGCAAAATATGATTACAAGATTCCACATCTTGTTTGCATAAGTAACATCTATTCACCCAATTCCGCCCCTCCTCATCAACTTGTCAGTGGTCAAGATACATTCTCTTCCCATCTCCCATGCAAAAAAAAGCAATCCTTGGAGAAGCTTTGGTCTTCAAAACCTGCTTAACAGGAAACACTATGCCATCCACAGCCCCCTTATTTATTATTTGATTGTATAAGGACTTCACCGTGAACCTGCCATCCTTGGTAAAGCTTCCACACAATCTGAGCACCATTCGAGTTCAAGTGGACATTAGTAAGCCGAGAAAGCAGTTCTTCATATTTCTCAATCTCCCAATCATTAAGACTTCTGGACACATTAATCGACCACTCTCTACTAGCTTCATCCCCCTCATAAGCTTCCTTGATGATCATAATCTTATTCCGAGCAATGGCAAAAATCTATGGAAACAGGACCTTTAGGCTCCCATCCCCCAACCAATTGAAGGAAATGATTTCCTTCTACAAATTGTTTTGGGAAATTTAACACTAAATGGAATAGGAAATTTCAATTTCCTTTTTACACAAAGAAATAGGAAATTTAATTTCTTTTTATAGTAAAAATAAAGTTCTGGAAAGTTTTTATAATCAAAGAAATAGGAAGATTTCCTATCTTCCTAATTCCTTCTATCTAACCTATTTTCCTATTTTAGTTTTTCTTTGATAACAATAAAAGAAAATAGGAGGATTTCCTAGTTTCCTTCTATTTAATTTATTTCCTATTTTAGTTTTCCTTTAGTTTATAACAAAAGGAAATAGGAAGATTTCCTAATTTCTTTCTATTTCACTTATTTTCTATTCTATAAGCTTTCTATATTTCCTATTTGGGTTTTATTTTGGTGCCTAATAAATAAGATAGCTTAGCATAGTCATTAGGTAGAGTATTCATGATTATTATTTATACATTGATATAGCGTTTTGACTATCGAGATCCAAGATCTCCGAGTTTTATTCTTAATAAAAGTTCTCTAAATTTATATTCAAGCTTTCTTTGCTCCACATCATGGGGTGTATTGTCTGCTTTGTCCTCGAGAAAAGAGGTGCATGCAAGTGAGTCCGACTCAACTGGTCATGTGGTCAAAGAATTGGACCTTGTTACCCCATTGTTCTCTCAAAAGCAAATAAGAGGAAGCTATTCAAATTCACTTGAGGCTTGAGGTATGATATAGTGGGTTTTACATGATAAAATTTATTATCCACACATAAGTAGTCTTTCATATAGTTGCGGCCTGTAAGCAATTTCTTGTTGGATATATTAATCTTCCCAACATTATCCTCACAATAACAGATATAATCCGAGCCAACAGCCAACCAGGACTGAAACTTCATCGAACTCCAGTTTAAGCAGATCATGTAAACATAAGTATCAAGGACTAAACTCTCTCATACCAAAATGATTCATTTAAGAAACTGTCATGGTTCCAAAACCTGAAGCTAACCTGGTTAACACATGGTGACACATATAAACACGTTTAACCCATTTATTTGATCATTTCTACCAGGCTAGTCAAGTTAAACCCAAATTCTGGTTTACCAAACCCAAATCAAACCTGACACATTTGTCCTGTTTACTTGTTTCGCATAAAAGATAAAGGAAATAAGAATACTACAAATCATGATTCAACCAACACAGTTAAAAACGAAATATATATCAACTACAATTCACAAAATGAATTACTAAAATATTTCAGACATAAATATACCACGAAAATATTAATATTATTATCTAGTTTATCAATGTCATATAGCAGGAGAATAAACAGCACCCGCAAGCTTAGCTAATAGTAGGTGCATCTCTCAATTACCCCTCCCTGCACAGTTTCCTATAAAAAAATAAAAAGAAAAGATTACTATAATGAGCTTAGACGAATTGCTATGTACTGTATCATTTGCTTAACCTACTTAAACTCATTTACAGAGAAGGTTAACACTTGCTCAATTGTCAACAGTTAAGTAAGATTCTTATTCTGTCGAAATAAATTGGACTCCTTTATCCCTCAAACTCATTTATACCGAAACCCAAATCTGCTGAATTTTGTATCTAAATAAGCCGTGTAATCATGTCATGTCGAACTTCTTCAGCATAACTGCCAACCTAATTGCCAACTTATACAAGTACTACCAGGTGAACACATTTTAAGTACACGATTATTTCGATTGTATAAATAATATGCTACATAAACTTTCTCCTTGATATGAAATAAATCTTAAGCATAACTACTACTGGAAATTTTCATCCACATTGATGTTTCCGCGTTCCAAAACCCTCACAAGCGATCAAACTTAAGCGAGCAAACTCTAATCCAAATTCCAATTTTCCTTTTTTTTTTTTTTAATAATCCAATCCAAATTCCAATAAACCCATTTTTGATGTGATCTTAGTACAGCAATCATTGAAGACAAACAACTAAAAGAATTATTCAAGCAATCTTTGTAAAATTAATTATGGCCACTATAGCTTCTTTTTTTTTTTTAATAAAAGAAGATTCAAACTATAGCTGTCACAAATATCCTATCATAAAAGAAGAATACAGTGGTAGACTCCAACAATACATAGAGAGGAGGTGAAGATACCTATAACAGATTTCTTTTCCCTTGGAAGAAACTACAATGAATCTAAAAGGGCTTCATTTTTCATATTATTTTAATAATCAAGACATGAATGTTATATGCACGCAAATTAAAAACCATAAAGCATTCATAAAGCATAAGTGCCAAATACATTAATAACAAAAGCAACGGTGTATAATACGACACCTAAATTTTTTGCTCTAACAGAAATTCCAAACGTCCTATTCTCTGAAATATGCTTGACTATTTGGAAACTAAACTACAGAATTGCATAAGTAAATAACATTCCAATAACAGAGAACTAATGGATACAATGTTAAATGGTACAAGTTACTATAACTAATCAAAAGTAATTATGGAATCAAAATAAGATACGATGTTAAATGGTACAAGTTACTATAAATAACCAGAAGTAATACGGAATCAAAATTTTGGGCTTACCTCGAAACATCACATCCCAACTCTGCGTTAAAACATGTCTAACTATAACACCACTTCAGAGTGACTTAGTTGCAGATGGAGAGCTTTCCGGTACATTCATCAGGAACCCCATAATCAAGGCTAAGCTCCCTTAGGGGAGGGATGTTCTCCATTGCAAAAAGCATAAGATGAGGAAACATCAGGTTATTGTGATCATGCAACACAAACTGCACCAAGACATTGGGTGTAGAACTATGGCTTATATAACAAGCAACATTTCTCATTCGTGATACATCCATCGCAAAATCCAAAGGTGGAATTGAGGGATACGATGGACGTGTATAATCAGAAAAAACCTGAGATAAATCCCCCCACTCTGCCCATTTTTCAGAAAATCGATTAGGATAAACCAAATTATCACCATTCATTGTGAAGATTTGGGATTGCTCCCTTGTCAAAGCAACCCCCGCATATTCACATATAAAAGAACCAGCTGGTATTAAGTCCAAGGATCTAACTCCCCAACCTGTTTCCCGTGATCTAAACACCTCCAATCTACTTCTCAAGCCCCTCTGACTTACACGATTGCGGCAATTTGGCGGACACTGACAGGATGCTCCACATTCAAATATTACTGGCTTCCCTCTCATCAAAAGACCATTATAATCATAAGCAAGTTCACCCCCATTCTTAGCAGCACAAAAGCAACTGTCATTACAACCTGAAACACAGTTACATCCAGTTCCACTCCCTTGACTAAATACAATTGGTGGAAAAACGGACTTCACAAGATATTCGTAAAACAATGGTTCTTGATCACTATCAATGTCATTAAAAAGAAAGACTGGAAGACTCTCCTTCTTATTGGAGATATCGAGGCTAAGATAACCCACTGGTCTGACCGAAATTGGCCTAATCCTAAGCGTCTGAGCAAACTTCATTATTGCACTACCCATCTCTGGTTGCCCATCCATTCTCAAAAGTTTATACTTATAAACACCGAATCCAGATTTTCCAACATCAAACCAACAATCAACAATCTTATACAAACCATCGTAGACATAAACCTTATTGGTAACACTATTTTCATACTTGATCCCTCTGATCACTCTTACTTCAATACCGTAATGCAAGCTCCTCTCCAATGCAAGATTTCCGCCTTCCAGCTTCTGGTGCTCGCATTGTTTAGAAAACTTGTCTTGTCCACCATGACCAGTATATATAATCATATCTCCTGCATCCTCATCGTCCTCGTACCCACCTGAAACGATAATGCTGGTTGCAATGGGCTCTCCATTCGAGCTCTTGCTCCCGGGCAGATAGTCAATTCCAGCCTGAGCTTGACCGTGCAATCCAACCACACACAATTCCATCCGAAAGAAGAACAAATCCCCAATTTCCACACCAGGAATCGAACCAACTATCCTCTTATCGCGATTTAGCCAGAGCCCACGGTCTCTCATCATAGTGGCTGACCTCAGATCCCCACGAGACCGCCTCCTGAACCCGATTCCTCGCCGGTTCTCTTGTTCCACGATTGAAAGGATTCGAAGTGATTCGTAAAGCATCCTCGTTCTCCTCACCACTTCTCGAAAATATGTCCTGTCTTTCAAGGTCAAGTTCGTTACCCGCACGAGCTCTGTAGATCTCGGGGTTTTGCGGCGGGAAACAACGACCTGGTTTAGCCGATCATCGTCAGGTACAGGGACGATTGCGCGGGAATCCGGCTCGATAACCTGAACGTCGGAGTATTGCTGGAATCGTTCAGCGAAGGCAGTGCGGAAGAGCTCCGAAAGGCGGTAGAACTCGGAGTAGACTGTCTCTTCGGCGGAGGAGATAGTAGAAGCAGCCGGGGTGGAGGGAGATGGAGATGGAGATGGAGATGGAGATAAAGGGGTAATTTGGGGATTAGAGAAGAAGATAGGGACTGAATTAGGAAAGAAAGACGAGAGTGGTTCTTGGTAGCTCTGAGACTGGTGAGGGATTTCGTCGACTGGCTCAGACTTGGGCTCAATTTTGGGTGTTAACAGTGTTGGAATTGTGGTGGTAGTTGTAATGGCGGAGGTGGTAGAGTTGTCTGGGAATAGATTGAGGTCTTGAAACGGGATAATGGAGCCCATTTTCTAAAACAGAGAGAGAGAGAGAGAGAGAAAGACGAACTGGCTCCTTAAAGCTGGAGGAACATGAAACTAAGCGGTTCGGATTACTGGTTAGGGTTTTGCAGAGAGGGTTTTTCTTCTGTCTGCTTCTTCAAGAAATTTTCATGGCGAATTTGTGAAGAAGGAGACGAACAAGAGAGAGAGAGAGAGAGAGAGGGAGAGAGCGAGCGACATGAATAACGAAAGAACCGAGGAGAAACAGTGTTGTAAAATTTCAAAGTGATATGACCGAAATGCCCTCCAATTTGGCTTCAAATTTTTCGAAATAAGGAAATAAGACACTTCACGTAACGCTTTCCAGCATCACATAGTTAAAGATGTGGGTCCCCGCCGTAACCAATAGTAAACTGCCACGTATGTTAATATATAAGGTCAGTTGTTTGATTAATCCTCGCTTGCATGTAATGTAACATCCAGAATGGATAAAACACATAGAATTTGTATTATACATACACAAATTATAATTCCAAAAAAAAAAAAAAAAAAAAATTAAGATTTAATTTCTCACATGTTATAAATAAAATTAAGATCCGTCACATCACGTATTAACACCGCTAACAATTAAGAACTATAATGTAAATTTTTTAAAAGTACAAAAAAAAATAATATAAAAATTAATTTAAATATTTTAAGATAGTATAAAAATAAAATTAGCATTTCAGTCTCGAATTTAACAATTAAATCAACGCTGTCTATGATAATAATTACCCTTAAAAACATAACATAATGTCATTATTCTAATTATTTTAATTTATACCATAAAAAAAAGGCAGTCTAATAATTCAAATTATTATGTTATATTTAAATTCATAAATATTACTTGATTTTTAGTAAAATCAGTTACTAGTCTCACACTATATTAGTAAGAAATTATAGTAATTAAATTTAATTTAATTTTAGTAAAATATAATTTTATTTTTTTAAAAAAATAATATTATCTGATAATTAAATTTTTTTCTAATTAAATTAGCCATAAACTGTCCTTTTATTAATATATATATATATATATATGTACATGTAAAAGTTTATGAACTTTTTGCCTACCAAGAAAAGCAGCACGCGCGCATCATTGTTGTTGTTGCTGCGAATAGTTATAATTTTATTGTATAGTTAGATTATATTGAATTTTATAATTAATATATATTTTGTAAAGACAAAAGTTATATTCATTTTTAACTATTATCCAGAAGACG